TCCGGAAAGTCAAAGACTCAAGTCGTCTTACAATGGGTACACCATCTTCAACTACAATGAAACTATTACACTTATCAGTACACGTGAAAACGAAGGACTAGCTTTCTCATATAGCAAACTACAATACCCCAGCTTCATCTGATATCCTTCTACCCAGAGATCATCAACTTGAAGGAACCAACAACATGCAACGTCCTTGTCAGTGTTGGAGCTCTGCCTACGGTGAATGAGAGCTCCCCGATGCCGAGGCATAGTCCAAGTGGAACCCCCATGTCGCACGATTCTATGTTACTAGAGTACTTCCATTCCCACGTATCTGCCCGTGTCACATCTGTACCTCTATAACCGTCGCCTTCGATGGACAACGTCACCAGCCGCCTATTGCGCACCGCATTGCGCTTGACACAATCCCATGATCGCATTTAGTCTCTTGAGAGCCCGCATGTTCTGCAGTTCTGTAATTTAGACAAACTGATCCGATTGCACAGTTTCCCCCCTCCACAAGGACGCTAAAGCTGCAAGTCGTTATCAAGAAACGCTTGCTTCTTTCGTCGCATCTTTCTTAGGGCGCAGGGATCTATCGAGAATCGAGCTTCCCTCTCTCTCACTCTTCAGCTCACATACCTAGCTCATAGCTCTCATACACAGCCCCCCCTCGAGTTCGATCCAAACTCATCTGTAACATCTTTCAACGCCACTTATCCGGGGTTCTCCAAATATTTCCAGATTTCTTGAACCCGAACACGAACAATACCTAGTATAACCACGCTGAACCCACGTGTATGATTATCCTAAGATCCACAAAGCTCTCAACTTCACCTCTATAATCCCTCCCGGAACAGCAGCCATGGCGACCAAGTAAGCTTCAGCCACTTAACTAAGCAACGGCCATGTATACTGACGATATCTCCAGAGTACCAGTCTTCCCAACGGCGGAGGAAACAATGAGGCATCCGTCATACTCCTCAACAATATGGAACCTCGAACCCGATCGCAAGGGAAAATGTCCCGTCGCCAAAGATCGAGGCGGCCCCTTCAACATCGCCTGGGAAATCCACGGCCACGGCCCCTCAAAGATCATAGTACGCAATCCTCACCCACTTCCATGTTTTCATTCCCGTCAGACCTTGAACTAACTCAAACCTCAAAAGTTCATAATGGGCCTGGCAGGCCTCAAAACCTCATGGCAGCGCCAAACAAAATACTTCGGCCACGATAACGCCTCCAAATACTCCGTCCTCATCCTCGACAACCGCGGCATGGGCGAGTCCGACGTCCCCTACATCCGCTACTCCACCTCCGAAATGGCCCACGACGCCCTCGAAGTCCTCACCCACGTAGGCTGGACCGCCTCCCGCTCCGTCCACCTCTTTGGCATCTCCATGGGCGGCATGATCTCCCAAGAACTCGCCTTCGCCGCCCCTAACCTCTTCGCCTCCGTGACGTTGCTCTGCACGGCCCCCTGGATCGAAAACACGAAATCTCTCCTCGAAAACATGCGCGACCGCGCCGCCATGCTCGTCCCCAAATCGGCGGACCGGAGTATCGCGGATACCTCGCTCAAGCTCTTCCCCGCCGACTGGCTCGTCATGCCCGACGAGGCGGCCGAGCTGCCCAACGATGCGACGTACAAGTGTGGCCCGGCGGACGGCGGGCAGGGGTACGGTCGGTTCGAGAGTAATTTCCAGCGGTTCCAGGCGCAGGAGCTGATCAAGAGGAACACGCCTGGGTTGTTCAGTATCCGTGGGTTTCTGCAGCAGCTCGTTGCGGCGGGGTGGCATCACAAGTCGCCCGCCCAACTAAAACAGCTCGCGGACCAGGTCGGCAGGGAGCGCATCGCCGTCGTTCACGGGCTAGGCGATGTCATGATCGACTCGCATCACGGGAGGTTACTGGCTGAGCATCTGCAGCCGGGTGTCGTAGAGTTCGTGGAGGGCATGGGGCATGCACCCATTATGGATAGGGTGCCGTGGATGAACAAGTGGTTGGAGGAAAGGATCGCAACGGTGGAGAAGATGAGTGCTTAGGATTGCGTGGATTTGGTGTAGCCGCTGGGCGGAAACCCAGAGAGCAGAGCATGGCAGATTGTGACATGACACACGATGAAGAGTAGTCATAGCTCGTGATGGCTTGATTCATTTACTGTGATACCTCACATTCATCCCCTAACGCCGGTATGCATGCAGCTATTCGCTGTGCTCACCACCCTTGGGTTTTCCTCCTCCGTCATCCGCTCATAATCTCATGCGACTTACAACATTACCAAGCCAATGCCACTCAGGTTCTCCTCGTCGAGCTTGTTTCTCCGGTCCACGCCGCCAGCAATAGGAGCCGCACGGTAGTTGAAGAGGTAGTAGTGGAGCTGGCCGTCACCGGGGCCGAACTTCTGCTGCTCCAGGAAGAGGCCGTTGTCGAGCAGCGACAGGCCGTTGAAGACATCGAACTTGTTCTTCTTGCCCAAGATCAGGGCGTCGCCAATAAGGGAGTTCAATCGTGTCTTCAGGGCGGCTTTGTCGAGGGGCGTGGTTAGGCCAACTTCGGAGGCGTAGTACCAAAGGTAGGCGGCACGAACGACTTGGTGCTTTGAGCTGTTGATCACGGTAGACTCGAGGCAGTAGAAGGAGAAGAAGTCGGTGATTTTTCCATTGGTCTAGCTGGATGTCAGTATATATTGGGCAGAGAAGGGATAGGGACATGCAACGAACCTCAACGACATATGTCCAGATGACCTGCTCGCCAGGGGCATTCTTGTCGTGCAGGAACCAGTGCCTGAACTCGTCCTTGGAGAACTCAGGGGCCATGTCGAAACGCTTCAAGTACTTGGCCAAAAGTTCGTTTGCGGCATCAAGGTCCTTCTCCTGGAGCTCGCGGAGGCCCTTGGTCGACGTGTTATCCGGAAGCTGGTACTTGCGAATCTGGTACTGCGGCTTGCTATTGGGGGGCAGCGGGCTGAAACCGACCTCGTACAGCTTCTGCCAGTTGAGGGCGCGGTGGAAGTAACGGCATGTGCTGACGGGCTTGGGCAGCACCACACCACCCGTGTAGAGACCCTGCCAGATCTCGCGCAGGTTGCTGCGGCGCGTGATCTCCTTGATCAGCACGGGAGCGAGGCGCTTGCCACGGAGCTTCTTGTGGACAACCATGAAGTTGACCTCAGAGCAAGTGACGACGTTCTTGCGCACGCGCAGGTTGACGGGGATGGCGGAAATGAAGGCAACGAGCTTTCTAGACTGCGTTGCGCGAACACCAACGTGCCACTCCTTGCGCCAGCCAGGAGCCATGAGGGCCCTGCGAAGATGGTTAGCTTAGGCCTGTCTGCATGTTACTTAAAGCAGAGTACTTACCATTTAAGCATGGCTGGTGAGTAATTGAAGCGGAACATGGCCTCGTCGTCCTCGACATAGTGGCCGTTGAGCAGCTCGTACACCTCCTTCATCTCCCCCTCGTCCTCGAGATTCATTGTAACCCACTCGAAGCCAGCGACCATTGGCGACGCCTCCGTAGGAACCTCTTCCACCTTTTGAATGCGGATTGGGCCATCCTCAACCTTAGCCTCCGCCTCACCAAACTTGGGCACGGGTTGCGTGGCCCAGAACTTGTAGCTCGCCATGTCCTTGGCATTCTTGCCAGCCGAGGCCAGACCCGTCATAATGTCCTGCAGGTTCAAGTTCTTCATCGCCGCAGCGGTTTCCTCGGCCGACTTGTTGCTAGAGCTTCCGACGCCGAGCTCGTTCGCCAACGCCGGGTTCAGGGCGAGAAGCTCAGTGAGCTGTTGGGGCGTCAAACCACCGATGGCCTCCTTGATGGCAGCCTCCGGGTCGCTGGGCTTGCCGGTGAGTGCATCCTTGACCTTCTTTCTCTTGGACTTCTTCTTCTTCTTCTTGGGAGCATCTGCAGTTGCGCCGGGTGCAGTCTCGGGCGCATCCTCCTCCTCATCGTCCTCGGACTCCACCTCGACTTCCTTGCCCTTGCCCTTGTCGCTCGCCTCGGCAAGGGTGTCGTTGGCGTCTTTGACGGCCGGGTCAAGGGGTTTGGACTCTTCGGCAGGCATCTTGTTGTCCTCGATTCGACGGTTTGTGGCGGAAGTGGTCAATTTTCGGGGGTGTTGGTGGGAGCTTCCTGGAGCTCTGTTCAAGCTTGCGCGGTGGGAATGGCGGGGAAGAAGTTTTGGCGCGAGAGAGGACAGTTTCATGTGCCAGCTGTGCTCCCAGGCGGTACAGGCTCCAGCTGTGTTTGTGTGACTGCATCATGGCGGGGTCACCTGCTAGGGGCCATGGCACTGCGGGGCACAAGGTGCCAACCCGCGGTGCGGCGATCAGTCCCCTCCTAACACCCTGGCGCTAAACTGCGAAAGACTAGTTATGACAACGCCTTCTGGACGACTTGTTCAAGAGTCACTATTCAAAGTTCAACGTGTTTACTAAGGTGAACGGGTCCATTTTAATTGAGTTATTCGTGTTTCAAGAATTTCAACAATGAAAAATGAAATGTTCTTCATTCTCAACTTCTGCTTGTTGGCATTTATGGCTCCCTCCTGAGTGACTACTTAAACCCTTGATAAGTGTAAATACCTCATGAGTTGTTATCCTCGAGTGATGGAGTATGGTCAAAAGTGCGTCAAATGAAACAATAGTTTGCTGCATACTCTTCTGAGGCAATGAATCATTGAAAAGTCTGAGTAAATCCCCTCAAGATTCATAACCCCGAGTATCACGCTATTCTGTTGGTATTGCGATTGAGTGGTCTGCTCATACATGCTCTAAAGGCAGCAGGGATGAAAACCGGGGAAGTGTGGAAATCATTCTGAATAAGATCGATTCTATACCAGGAGACCGAAGCGCCAACGCAAAAGTCACAATTACCCCTTCTCCCAATAAAGTAATTGCACCCCCAAAAAGGTGCTATAAGGTACAACAACTAGACACCTTCCGCTCTACTCTAATGCTGGCGCTCTTGAGTTCTATGCAAAAGATACCGGCATGGAAAGCCCATAACCGCGATTATAACGTTCTACTGCTAGTATCCGATCCTGCCATGTCATAAGCCGTGCCTGCGAGGTCGAAGGAACGCATCACTGCAAGAATTACAGGCGCATATCCCATGATGTCGTTGTGTCCTGCGAGAGTTAGAAAGAATGCCCTTCACAAACTAGCCTTATCGATTAAGTTTACTTACCACCGTGTGGGAAAAGCTCCTGGCGAATTATGATGTTTGGCTCAGCGTTCCATGTAGTCACAAAGGCGTTCTTGCCCTTGTGAATAGTACGCACGTCCTTCCACGCCTCGAATGAATGGTCACTCAGCCCCTCAGGGACAGTCGCATTCGCAGCCGCGCGGAAAAGCTTGTTGCTCTCCGTCCAGGGAATATCCGCATCGTCCTTGGCCGAGATGAGCGTCAAGCGCAGACGTCTCTTCGTCAGCTTGACCAGGCTCTCCAGCCTATCGACCGACGGCCACTTATCGTAGATGAAGCCCTCCATGTACTCCAAGAAGCCTGGCCAGACCTTCAAAGGTCCCAGCACGGGAAACAAGCCGCCAATCTTGTAGCCGCTCAGCATCTTAGGCAAGTTGCTGAAGCCCGCGACGAGAATGACACCGCCAAATTCGATTCCTTGTGAGGCGTAGAGCTCGGCAACACCGCTAGTCACGGCTGTGCCGAGACTCTGACCAAGAAGAACGATGCGGTCCGAGGGCACGCCGGCAACATTGATAACCCAGTCGATCAGAGTGGCGGCATCTTGGATCAGGCCGTATTCGGTTGGGCGACCTGTCGAGTGACCAAAGCCACGGTAATCGATTGCCAGGACATGGTATGATGAAGTATCAGTAATGACATGGTAGCTGTCCGGCCTATGGCCTTGCGCAATGTCACCAGCGTTCTGCACATGGTCAGTATGAGAGCATAGGAAATCACGAGTTGGACATTTCTTACACCGTGGACTACGACTAATTAGCGATTGGAAGCATATGTAATGATACTCAATGACTTACATGAAAGTACAACCCGAGCATCCGGATCCTCTTTCAAAGCCTTGAAAGACTCGGTTTCGGTGAAATCTTGGCAGAAGCCACCCTTCTGCACTGAGAATCTCTCCTCCTGCTTCAGATACTGAGGCAGAGGCATAACATGCCATGCATACAAGCTCACTCCATCTGGAGTGTCGAGCGAAAAAGGCGTGGCTTGGCCCTCTTTGGAGGGAGGTTGTCAGCAATGGCGCGTCTTACATGGGGGTTGGTGCGCAGACTTACTTGCAAAGCCCCATCTCTCAGGCTTGTCAACGTCACGCCACCAGAGGGTGTTGATCTTGTGAGCGTACAGAAAGCTTTAATAATTTCATTAGAAAATTCTGACCAGGAGCAAGAGATATATGACAACAAGTCTTACTGTCGTTGGAAGAAAGGTGTTGCGCCTAGGGCCAGGAAAGTGAAGTAGAGGCCCAGCGGAGCCGCCACGACCCAGACGGCCGTCCGCAGGATCGGCGAAAGCGGAACCGTCATTATCGAAGTTCTGTGCTGATGCAAAGATGCAGAGGGATGTGAAAGACACCAGAGATGAGATTGAGAGACTTCCGAGTTATCTACACATGGCGGGTGGCGGTGATGTGGCCACCGTGAGTGATGCCTTGGCGAACTGGTTCCTTGCTTGAGGTTGGAATTGCCTGCGAATCCGCAGGGATGGTGACATGGAGGCCTTTAGCTGAGTGTACTTTCTTTCATGGCAGTTGAGCGTGCCAACCCGAAGTACTTGCCGCTAGTAGGCGCAGTCCCCAGAATGCGGCAACCTTTCGCAACTCTGGTCTGAGCCGCACGCCGACGACAACAGATCATCCGTCGGTATCAGATGCGTTTTTCTCCCCGCCACCACTGCCTATTTCTTGCAAATTGATTTCTATGACATGGGCAAACAGAAACGCTTCATTCAGTCCATTTGATTTACTCAGATGACAACCATTGCTGAGATAATTAGGTATTTGTGCATGGACTTGGCAGCGCGCCTATGGTCGGGTTAATTTGCTAAATGCGGAGAGATGGCTACAAAGTACCGCGAGAGTAATTTGGTCTGGCTATTTCTCCAAGCTTCACAGCCACATTCACTCACACATCTGCAGTTTCCCCCACACATTGTGAGCTTACGCAAACAACAGCCAAAGTACGGCCGGTAAGCAACTTCGGTGGATCTGGTGACCTGCGCGACGCATTGGCAAGTGCTTTACCTTAGGATTCATACAGGAGAAAGCAATTGGAGATCCAAGGGAACTGGGTGGAGGAACAGGAGGCTCCCGTCCTGATTGATGTGGCAGGAGAAGGAATGATCCGGAGTGCATTGCAGAACGAGGTACATGCGCCACGGTACCTACCGTGGTACATAGGTACATGACAAAGCATGCGACGATTTTGGCGCGATGTGAATGGCGGGCGGGACCCTTCTATGGAACCGAAAACCCCATGTGCCCCGTGCGCTTCGTCCAGTCAGGGCGCGGCAAAGTGCCCAGTTTTTCCGGGTCCTATTTCAAGCCAATCAAATATGGCTGTTCCTGTTAAACTCACAGCCCGCCTGCTCTTTCGTCCGCTGCGACTGGACGGCACGGCACCGCGGAAAGTCGACGTGCACCAAGTGGGAAGGACCTACCTGGACGTGGGACGTGATGGAGGGTGTACCTTGGTACCCGGCAAGCAGCAGCAGGAGCAGCAGCAGCGCAGCAGAATGAGCAACCGCGCTCTTGCATCTCCGAAAGAAAAAAGAGGCGGCAACAGCCCAGCCGGAGCCTCAGGTACATCTCATTTTGTACCTTTTTTTCCATGCCTCTTGCTGGTCGCCGCTGATGCATCCCATACAAAGCTCCCCATGCTAATATCCCGTCCACCCCAATTCAACTCACTCACACGAACCCTTCCCCGAGTCTCCAAATCCATTCATTCCTCCACAGGTATTCCCGACACAACCCACGCGCGAAGCCCACGCAGACTCCGCCCCGTGAGAACAAGTCCCGATATCCTGCGAACAGCTTAAAGCCGATATATTCACGACTCGACTTCACTGCCACCTCCCCTGCTCTCCCACGTGCAGCATATTCGTGCCCCCTCCACACTCCTCTCAAGAGAGTACGACAACGGCGCCGCGCGCAGTCGGGGGCTGTGGCTTCTTCCGCTGATGATGAAAATACCGACACGCTCGGGAACCTACTCGTGATACCCTGAACTCTGCGACGGGGAAACGGCACATTCGACATGGAGAGGAAGAGGAAGTTGCCCGCCAGGGCTGCGGCGCGTGTCGAACACGTCGCAAAGAAGCGCACCGTCACCCCTCCCGAGCCCCGATCAGTTACGCCAGTCCCAGTGCCAGTCGAGGAACCACCACCGCCGCCCCCTTCGCTCCCAAAGTCCATTCAGGCCGGGAAGCCGCTTCCGACCGTCGAGGATGCCCAACCCGATGACCTCCCCGCGAAGGAGTATCAGTCATTTCAAGAGAGGTAAGACCGTATGCCCTGAGATCTAGCCGTCGGATTGGCCGTGGCTTGTGGATGCACATAACTGACCTTTGGCCCATAGTGGTGTTCTTGCCGAATCGCTGAGCCGGTCGCGACACAAATGGCTGGCCGAGGGACTATTCGAGAAGTACTGGACGAAACCTGGACGAAAGAAAAACGCAACCGAAGACCCCAAGAATCCACCCAAAGATACCATGAGCAAGATTGGGCCCTGCACAATCACGATCGAGCCACACGTTTTCGATGTCACCCTTTGGGCGATCAAGGACCCCAAACCTCCCGCACCCACCACGCAAGCTACCTTTCGGCCCATTTTGCAATATGGTCCTCCCAATGGAGCTATGCCCCCTCCACCTTCACCAGCAAATCCGAACCCAAGTCCTGCACTCGGTCCCAACGAGTCGAAGCCGACGCCTTCCGCCCAGAGTCCGGCTCCTCCGTCACCTGCTCCTCAGCAGCCACCGTCCAGGCCGCCCTCGTCGGCTGCGAATGAGCCACCCAAAGTGATGCCCTCACCGCGCACTTTGGAGCCTATGCGGACCGCCAGTGCGACGCCACCTCCGCCACGGCCGGTAGCTCCATTGGTCCCGGCGGTTGCGGCACCAGTTCCAGGGACGCCATCACATCCCGTTCCTCCTTTGGCTGCGGCACCTTCAGCACCAAACTCACGACCGTCGAGCTCAACGCCGACACCAGCTCCGGGGGCTGCAAAACCGCCGGCGGCAAAACCACAAGGGACCGATCCCATCATTATGACGCTGGCCGAGAAGGCATCTGAGGACCCTCATCTACGAGACTTGATGAAACGGGTCGCCGCTGGTGAAGCAAAGCCGGATGAACTAAGCAACTTTCAAAAGATCATTGATCAAATCACGGCGGAGTATAAGAAGAAAGGGGGGCAACAGGGTCCTTCAGCGGACAGGCTATTGGTTGACGGGAGGACAGTCAAGTATTTTGCCGACGAGGTACGGACGATTCTGGATATCGTACTCGCTACGAATCCGAAGCAAAAGTCGTCAGAACTCCTGCCTCCGCGCGGAAGCGACCCTTTGGTTGTGGCCTTGGTGAGAGCGGCTCTGGACGCGAAACCGTTGCAGAATATGATCCGACGGATAGCCGACAACAAGCCTGGCTTCACCGACGCCACTGACCTCAAAGCATCTCTCGACAAGTTGCACAAGGAACTCAAGAGTGCGCAGAACACCCCGACGCCTCAAACCCCGACGACACAGGCTGCCATCAACGGCACCGCGAACGGCCATCCCGTCAAACCAGCGGCCGCTGCGCCTGCTCCTTCACCGGCCCCGACTCCAGCAGCCCCACAAATACAGCATCCCCCTCAGCAAGCCCTTCGGTCAAAGGGCCCTCCGCCACCTGCGAGGCCTGAGATCTCAGGCGTCTGCCTCGACTTTGCTGGTGGAAATGGCGATCGTTACCTGTTTCCAAAATACAGCATTCTCGAGTATCTGCCCGGCGGACAGCAGGCTATCGCATCGTTCCTCATTGTTCGCAAGGGCAGTCAGCTAGAGTATGGAGGCGATGCCAAGCTCGATTACTACCAGCCTGTCACCGTTCGGCTGTACGCTCAATCAGCTCGTCACCTCGAGTACTTGCAGAGAGCAGTGGCACCCCAGGAAGAAGTCATGAGGTACATGGACGATGTGATGGACAATATGACGAGGGCGGAATACGTCCTTCTCGCCATGCGCTTGCCACGTGGGGAGCAAGAACCCAACAGCGAGCAAAATGGCAAAGATACCCCTGGCCTGAGCGGCCAAATAGCGAGACCAGAGTCAACAGCACCAGAGCACCCGGCTCCCAAGCAGCAGTCAGTGCAATGGGGACCTGTGACGTCCAAATTCGTTCGGAGTTTCAACAAGAAATGGTTTGAAGAATGGAAGAGAACCGAAAAGACAGCGGGCAAGAAGCCCTCTTCGGCAGATGAGGTGTTTCAAGAGTCCTGCGAGGCCGTTGGCCGCGATCCTCTGGACAAGGACATAGAATACGAGAAGATGATTGAGCTCTTGGCGGCTAAGGACTCCGAGTCATCATCTTCTTGAACTCGACGCAGCTAGAAAGCGCACCATGTATTACCTAGACGACACACCACAGCGAGCGACCGGCGGCCGGGGGCCTCGAGTGAGGAGAGTAGGTGTCGTACTGAGCATTTGGGTCAGGTCCGTTTGTTCGCGTTGCATAAGGCACGGGATGGCCATCTTTCCGCACTGCTGTTGTTGCTACTTTGTTGTTCACGTTACTGTACAGAGCAAAGGATTGGGATCTGATTCTGTTTTTGATTGGGAAAAGGGAATTGGAGTGGCCTATCACAAGAGGGGAATGCCTCTCCCACATACTATTTTTCCATCTTTATTCCAATTTGGTGTTTGAGAGTGTTGAAAGGCCTCGGGCGTGAGGCTGGGATGTGGTGTGGCTCGACTCATTTTTATTATTACCCCCAAAACCCCCGCTTCGATGGAGTTGTGGGACGGAGAGAGGCAGTGGTCAGAGATGTATGTGAGCATTGTAAGCATTGGCATGCCTCACTGCTGCTTATCTGATCAGAAAATAAAGAATATCACAAGTACACATGCTGTTCTGGGCTCGTATTGATGATTCGTCTCGGTAGAGATGTACCCAAGCCAACCCACCCAGGCATTTTCCAGCCAGCCCTCAGGAATTGAGATTATGTGAATCCTGCTGAAGGTACCTTAGTTCTGAGCCTCGGAATGCCTTTTCCTTTTCCTGATCCTTCTTGCTTTTCGCATACAATACCTTATGCTAGTACCTTCCCACGGTCAGGGCTTCCCTTCCATCTCAGTTCCTACTCACCCTCTTTCCGTGTCTACCTACTAGTAACTACCTTGCCATAGAGTTCCTTCCTTCCACTTCATTTCCCACCTCAAGCGCCTTCCCTCTCAACCATCTCCTTATCTGTAGTCAAGCCTCCTCAACTCCCAGCAATCCGGGTATTTAAGTCCGTTGGTTGGATGGTCCACCGAAGCTTCATTGCTGACTTTCGGGTGTAGGTGGGCTAGAGGTTCAATACTGGCTCGGTTTGCTTTTGTTTTTTTCGACTTTTGGCTATCTTGTGAGGAGTGGTCTGGCCCTCTCAGATGGGACGCCTTTTATGAAAGGACACGCACATATAGCTTACGTGGTAGGTAGGCA